GGCTTTTTTTTTTCTGCTTATGTGGTGCTGAGGAATCGAACCCAGGGCCTCATGCATGCAAGGCAAGCGCTCTACCACTGAGCCACCTTCCCAGCCCTCTTAAAATATTCTTAACAACATAGTTTTTCAGTTTATGTCAACCTAAAACCCTTATAGGAAGATGGAGAAATTATATTACTTACAACATTTTTTATTACAGAAAAAAACTAAAAAAATTTCCATAAATTGTAACTTATGACATAAATGTCATTATGACATTCATTATGTCATAATGAATATTTATAAGGGGCTGGGACTATAGCTCAGTAATACAGCACTTTCCTAGCATGACTGAAGTGGCCTAGATTCAATCTCCAGCATTATAAAAAATAAATAAGAATATTTACAAGAAATTTATTAGAATGAGAAACACTAGAAGCCAGGCACTAGTGGCTCATGCCTGTGATCCTATCTAGTCAGGAGGCTGAGCTCTGAGGATTGAAGTTTAAAGCCTAACTCTGGCAAGTTAGTGAGACTTCATCTCCATTTAACCAGTAAATGAGTTGGAATAGAGGTATGGCTCAAGTGGCACAGAACCAGTCATGCATGGAAAAGCCAAGCAAGAGCACAGGTCCTAAATGAGGCGCTGGTGCCTCAGCCTGTCATCCTAACTTCTCAGGAGGCTGAGATTTGAGGAGCACAATTGGAAGCCAGCTGGGGCAGGAAAGTCCATGAGGCTCTTATCTCCAATTAACCTCCAGAAAACCAGAAGTAGTGCTGTGGCTCAAAGTGAACGAAAAAAGCTCAGCGATGGCACTTAGACCCTGAGTTTAAGCCCTACAACCCAAAACAACAACAAAAAGTTTACGTCCTGGTATGGAGGGAGGGGCACAAAAAAGAAAAATATTTATAAAAATATGTATAAGGGCTGGGAAGGTGGCTCAGTGGTAGAGTGCTTGCCTTGCATGCATGAGGCCTTGAGTTTGGTTCCTCACCACCAGATAAGCAAAAAAAGCTGGAAGTGGCACTGTGGCTCAAGTGGTAAGGTGCTAGCCTTGAGCTGAAGAGCTGAGGCTCAGCGCCTAGGCCCAAAGTTCAGGCCCCCATGACTGTCAAAAATATAAAATAAAATATAAAATCAACTGATTTACTACTACTCCTTCTATATTACTATATTAAATATGCACATATACAGGAAAATATTGTAAGATTTATACAATGTAATATGATCACAGTTTTATCATGAAAAAAACAGTGTATGTATGTAGTAGGACTGACCCCCAAGGCCTTGGGCTTTGTACATGACAGGCAAGTGTACTATCACTGAGCAACACCTGATAAACAAATTTTTTGTGTGCCAGTCCTGGAGCTTGAACTCAAGGCCTGGTATCCCATAGTTTTTTCCACTTGAGCTATAGCTCCATATCTGGCTTTTTGGTGATTAAATTGGAGCTAAGCATCTCACAGACTTTCCTGCTTGAATTAGCTTCAAACCATAATCCTCAGGGCTCAGCCGCGTGAGTAGCCACTGGTGCCTTGTAAACCATTATTTTAAAGCAGCTTCAGGAATGAGTGCTATTTAATTTGTGATCCAAAGGCTATCTCCACATCTCTGACTTTTTTTTCTTCTTCTGATTTTGGATTATCTGCTTCCCTAATGCCTGCTTCCTTTATGGGAGAAAAAGTCGCACCTAATAGTGAATTACAGAGGAAAAAAAAAGAAAATGTAAAGCACAATTCTTAAACTCTATGTACAGTACTTTAAGATGCTTATAAATAGATGGTATCATCCTTGTAGTTGATGAGAAAAAAATTCTTTAAAATGGTATATGGTACATGTCTATTATCCCAGCTACCTAGAAGGCTGAAGCCGAAGACTAATTTCAGCCCACGAATTCAAGGCCAGCTCATCTCAACTAAAAAAAAGAAAAAAAGAATAATGCTGAAGTTTTAGTTTAGCCTGAGCTGCAAAATTCAAGTATGATATTCAAACTTACTAATTATCTCAGGGCCCTATACTATATTTCTTCTAAAACTACTACTTCTTTCTGTTGGTAATTGTTACATTTAAGCTACTTTAAATATTTCAAGAAGTAGATCAAACATAGAACCCAACTAAATCAAAAAGCAAACATTATGATCCATCAATACACATACATTTGCTAGCTTATTTCTAAGTTTCAATATGGCTATAAGGAATACATGCTAAACGCTAGGACTATAAACCAACTATTTTTTAAAACTAGAGTTGATATCAATACTCACTTTCAAATATCTCTGATAATAAAAGACAATACAGCAAGATTAACTGCATCCCAGGGATACTTAAATTTTATTTTGGCTATCATCTTAAAGGCCCCTAAAAATGATTAAGAACATTGGTTTTTTTCTCAGTGCTGGGAATGAAACCCAAGGCCTTGTTTATATTAGACAAGTGCTCTACTACCAAGAAATATCCTCTCCCCACTACAGACTTTAGTGTCTAAACAACTGTGCTTTCAATACCAAGTAACATTCCCTGCTGCAGGTATGAAGAAGTAAATAATACAAGGTGAGCAGTAAGAGGGCAAATCAAGAAACCCAGATAGGCTAGGTGCTAGTGGCTCATGTCTATAATCCTAAAGATTCAGGAGACTGAATTCAGATTTCAGAAGGCTAAGACCTAAGGGATGTGGCCCAAGTGGTAGAGCACCAACCCTGAGCAAAAAAAAAAGCTAAGCAAGAGCTCTATTTTAAGGCCCGGTACACAGAAGTGCACGTGCGTGCACACACATGCACACATGGAAACCACCCAGATAATTAGTCTCATAGTTGCTAAAAATTAACCATAAATGTTTTGGTATCTCTAATGCTATTTCTGAGGAGGAAGGAAAAAGAAGGAAGAAAAAAAGGCTATATTAAATTCTTTAAGTCTCTTTTGAAGATAATCCAAATTTTAGTTAATATAAAAAATTATCAAAGACTGACCAAATAGAAATACTTGTTGATTTGGAAAGATACTATGTGTGGAAATATAATGAAGTACATATTTAGTACAAATACAAGCCAATTTCATCTTCGACTTACCCTTCCCCAAGGGAAAAACTGCTATGGGAACTGTTGAAGCCAGGTGATGGGGAGTTATTAACGTATGTGATCTCAGGCCATGGAGAACACTGAAAACAGAGGACAGATTTGATAAAGAAAAGCACATTTCAGGCCAGTGCAGGTGGTTCACGCCTATAATCCTAGCTACTCAGGAGGCTGAGATCTGAGGATCACGATTCAAAGCCAGCCGGGACAGAAAAGTCCAGAAAAGTCCGTGAGACTCTTATCTCCAATAAACCACTAGAAAACTGGGAAGTGGCGCTGTGGCTCAAGTGGTAGAGCATTCGCCTTGAGCTGAAGAGCTGAGGGACAGCACCCAAGCCCTACCACCGACAAAAAAGAAAAAGAAAGAGCACATTTCACTCTAATGGCCCATTAAATATTGTTATTCCAAAAGCATATCTTTTTTTTTTCTTGCCAGTCCTAAGGCTTGAACACAGGGCCTGGCCACTGTCCCTGATCTTCTTTTGTTCAAGGCTAGCACTCCACCACTCGAGCCATAACACCATTTGTGGCCTTTTCTGTTTATGTGGTACTGAGAAATCAAACGTAGGGCTCCATGCATGCAAGGCAAGCAATCTACCACTAAGCCACCTTCTCAATAGCCTATCTTAATTAGTAGATCTTTATTCTTTTGAGGTTTCGGTAAGCAAAAACAAAAAATGCTCAGAAGTAAAATTAGAGTGGGCTAGAAATTAAATGATATATATTTCTCTCTTAAGAATGAAGATTGGGGCTAGGAAGGTGGCTCAATGGTAGAGTGCTTGCCTTGCATGCATGAGACCCTGGGTTCGATTCCTCAGTACCACATAAACAGAAAAAGCCAGAAGTAGTGTTAAGGCTTAAGTGGTAGATCACTAGCCCTGAGGTGAAGAGCTGAGGGACAGTGCCCAGGCCCCATGACTGACAAAAAAAAAAGTGAAGATGAAGGGGATGTATGTCAATAGTAGTGGTCTGTCTGCCTAGCATGTGTAAAGCCCTGGTTTGATTATGAGCCCCACAGGAAATGAAGAAACAGGGACAAGAGAGAGAGGAGAGGGGAAGGAGAGAGAGAAAATGAAAAAAATAGGCTGAAATTTTCACCAAAAGAAATCCTTTTACCTCTGTAAGAATGGTTGTCTCATAAGATGGTTGATATTTTTCCTTTTCATGTGGTGTTCGTTTTTCCATTTTTTCTCTGTCTGTTTTTTGCTTCCTGTCTGCACCTTTGGGCTAAAATAAGAAATATTTTGTCTTATACCTAGGTACTCATCTTCTTGAAAACACATGTTCACATATAAAACTTACATATACAATGATGCAAAGACAAGAAACATTACCATCTAAGTCTGAAAACAAAATTGAAATGTTGCTTGGGAATACAAAGGAATGATAGGCCAGGTGTGGTATATACCTACCACCCCAGCAACTCAGGAGGCTGAGGAAGAATACTGCAGTAGAGGCCAGGTAAATCATAAGTTTGAGGTCACCTTGGGCAATTCAGTAAGACTCTCTTAAGTCTCAAAATAATTCACATAGTGTAATCTTACTTTGTTTCAAAGAGGGCAAACTATGTATATACCTATGTAAACATTTGTATAAAAGCAGTTATGACAGTGTCTACTTCTGGGGAGAAGTTGGGAAATTTCTCTTTCTTTTATTTTTATTTTTGCCAGTATAGAGGTTTCAAGGGCTTGTACTCACTCAGCCAGAACTCTACCTCTTGAACCACACCTCTACTTCTGGCTTTTTGCCAGAATTGGTTAATTGGAGATAGTACCATGAACTTTTCTGCCCATGCTGGCTTTGAACTCCAATCCTCTGTATCTCAGCCTCCTGAGTAGTTAGGATTACAAGTATAAGCCACTAACACCCAGCTCCTGAATTCTTTTATATTATCAAATATCTTAGAATGAGAATATATTTATGAAGGCAATAAAAATAAAGACCTGAACTCCATCTTTTAACCACCTACTCAGGAAATGGAAGTTAGAAAGATTACAGTTGGAGGCTAGTCCAAGCAAAAAGTTAGCAAGCAAAACATTAGAAAGACCCTATCTTAACAAACAAGGTACGATGGTATGTCTCCAGCTAGGCTAGGTGAGAGGCCTGGGTAGGAGGATCATGGTCCCAAGGCTAGCTCTGTGGAAAAAGCATGAGGCATTCTCTAAAATATAACTTAAGCAAAAAAGAGCTGGAGGTTTGGCTCCAGTGGTAAAGTATCTGCCTAGCAAATACGAGGCCCATAACTCAACCCCCTGTACCACCTAGGTCAAGATAAGATGAACTATGATGCTGGGTGCTAGTGCCCCACACCTATAATCCTAGCTATTCAGGAGGCTGAGATGTGAGGATTATGTTCAAAGCCAGCCTGAGCAGACAAATTCTGAGAGATTTTCATCCCCACTTAGCCAGCAAAACACTGGAACTGAAGCCAAGTGCCAGTGGCTCACATCTGTAATCCTAACTGCTCAGGAGGCTGAGATCTGAGGATCATGGTTTGAAGCCAGCCCAGGCAGGAAACGCCATGAGACTTTTTTTTTTGGGGGGGGGGTCCAGTCGTGGGGCCTGAACTCTGGGCCTGGGCGCTGTCCCTCAGCTCTTCAGCTCAAAGCTAGCGCTCTACCACTGAGCCACCTTCCCAGCCCATCCATGAGACTTTTATCTCCAATAAACTACACAAAAAAAGCTGCAAGTAGCACTGTGGCTCCAAGTAGTAGAGTACTTGCCTTGAGCAAAAAAGAAGCGCAGGGACAGCGCCTAAGCCTAGAGTTCAAGCCCCAGAACTGGCCAAAAAAAAAAAAGCAGAACTATAGGTGAGGCTCAAGTAGTACAGCACCAATCGTGGCTATCAATACAAGGATCGGAGTGCAAATCCTAGTGCATACACTCACAAAGATGATCAAATATGAATATAATAAAAACATTCATCTCTCCATAATTTTGTAAGCTTTAGAAGAGCTTATACTTTCAACAGGCTTCAATACGAATGCATGATTTTGTTTGTCTCTTTTTCCAAGTTCTTACTATCCTGTGACTATATCTCCATATGTATCAGTGGACCAAGTATCTTAGTAGTTATTTCAGTAATTTTTAGCTTAGACAGTCTGCATAGTTCAGTTAACTTTCTAACTTGGTAACTTACATTAAAATAGAATTACAAGAAAAAGGATCCAAGGGCCAGTACATTGCCCAAGAATACCTTGAAGACTTTGATCTGGCAGCTGGCTGAATGTAAGTGCTCAGTATATTCCCCATTTTCATTCTCCTTGAAGGTATCAATTTGTACTCGGAATGGCACTCCCTTTTCTCCACCATGTTTCCTCATAGTAAACTCTGTGCTAATACAATGTACCTGAAAAGAATACAACATAAAAACATCAGTATAGCTAGCAATCCAAACCAATCAGTGATATATTTTGAGTAATTACCCATAGCAAAACTTTTTAATAGGCCATTTATGAACACTCATAAAAACTGTTTCCTCTTTTTGATCTTGAAGAAAATATGATCTAATGAAGGAAATGAGAAAAAAATTAACAAAAACCCTTGTTTCCACTGAAAATTTTAAATTGTTTGCAAATTCAAACAAAATAAATGTACAGATCTAATGCTATATGTTGAACCTGCTGTAAGGAATTAAATTTATTATCTGCTTCAGAGAATATAGAGTTAGTCTATAGGAGAAAGACTATTAGTAAAGCTTCTTATGCAAGATAGATTTTAGAAAGAGGAGGCACATGGCTAGGAATATGGCTTAATGGTAGAGTGCTTGCCTAGCATGCATGAAGCCCTGGGCTCAATTCCTCAGTACCACATGAACAGAAAAAAACTGGAAGTGGCACTGTGGCTCAAGTGGTAGAATGCCAGCCTTGAGCAAAAGAAGCTCAAGGACAGTGCCCAGGCCCTGAGTTCAAGCCCCAGGACTGGCAAAAAAAAAGAGGAGGCACAGTCTGGCTTGAAAAAATAGTAAATATGCACGCTTACAGAAACGGTAGAGGGTATGATTTGCCTGGCTACTGTTTAAAGTCTAAGATTGGTGAATTTTTTTTTGGGGGGGTTGGTCATGAGGTTTGAACTCTGGTTATGGGCACTGACCCTGAGCACTTCAGCTCAAGGCAAGTGCTCTACCACTTGAGGCACAGTGCCATCTCCAGTCTTCTGATGATTAAGAGAGGATAAGAGTTTCATGGACTTTCCAGCTCATGCTGGCTTTGAATGGTGATCCTCGGATCTCAGCCTCCTGAGTAGCTAGGATTACAGGCATGAGCCACCTGCTTAAGACTGGTAAATCTTAATAGTGGAACCTTGTCTGATTGATCATTTACTAGCTTAAGTTATTAAACCATTCTAAGTCTCAGACTATTCCTACCTCACAGAGCTAGTTATTGTTAGAAGTCTTAAATTCATGTATACAAAGGGCTTGACTAACAAAGTCATTATTTCAAAGTCATTATTTCAGTAAATTATTGGCTATCATTACTACAAGGAAAGAATTTTGGGGGTATAGAAATTTGAACTCAGGGCCTTGCACTTGAGCCATGGTTCCAGCCCAGCTTTTTGCTGCTATTTTGGAGATGGAGGCTTGTAGACTTTTCTCTCTGGGTTGGTTTGAACCTAGATTCTCTGTATCTCAGCCTCCTGACTAGCTAGGATAACAGGCATGAGCCACTAGCACCAAGCTTTAAGTAAAAGATTTTTGGGAAGGAATCATTCAAAGGACATAATCTGTGAATAAAATTTTAAGTATGCAACTGTTTGAAATAATTTTATGGATAATAGTGAAAAATTAGAATAATTTGTACACAAATAAGCATTAGGTAAGTTATGAGACAACCAAAGAACAATACACTATACATCCATCAGCAATTGCTTTGGAGAAATGTAAGTAAATAAACAGAAAATTAGAAGAGCAATTTTTTTTAAATTCTCAATGTCCAGGCACATGCTGAGGCTTCTTGATAGGCTAGGACCCTTAAAAGATTTCCAACTAGAGGTTTAAGGTACAGCTTAGTGGCAGAATGTATTTTTAAATCTTTTTTATTGTTGGTATAAAGGTAACATACAGCAGGGTTGCAGTTACCAAAGTAAAGAGTAGATTTCCTTTTGGACAATGTCACTCCTTCCCTTGCTCTCACCCATTTTCCTCACCCAAATTGTATAGTTCATTTTCAACATAGTATCCAGTGAGTACCACTGCTGCATTTGTTTACCCTTTGTCCCTCCAGGTAGAATGTATTCTTATTAGCATATGTGAGGACCAGATTCATTCTTACCACCAAAATAAAATTTCAAATTAACCCATCTTCTCCTTTAAGAAACAATTTGGAATGCTTTCAGCCATTCCTACCTGAATAAACACAGATGTCCTCTTTGAAGGGTCCCATAAGAACTCCACTGTATTTAGCTGGGTTGGATTAGCTCTAGGATCTATTATGCCCACAGACATTGGGATATCTAGAAACAAAATGACAGAATTCTTACACTGGTCTCAGACTCCTGAGCTCAAGCAATCTTCCTATTTCAACTTCCCTGGTGCCAATGACTAACGGCATTTGCCACCATGCCCAGGTCTACTTGGTTTCAAATTAAAAAGCAAGGATTCATTCACCCATAGTTACAAAGATTTTCATGTATCATACCCTAAACTTCTTTCTTGCAAATAAAAAAAGTCTGAATAAAAGAATTAAAATAGACTTATGCATTCTTCTTCTTCTAACCCTAACCCTAGTGGCGGGGAGGGGGAGTGTAGGCAACGTAGTGAAACCCTGTTTAAAAAACAAACAAGCCAGGCCCAGTGACTCAAGAATATAATCTTAGCTACTTGAGAGGAAGAGATTGGGCAGTTTAAGACAAGCCCCAACAGAAAAGTTAACAAGGCTCCAATCAATGACTAGGCATGGGGGTGTCATCCTAGCAACAAAGGGAAGTACAAATAGGAGGTCATAGTTCAGGTTGATCTGGTCAGAAAGCAAGATGCTATCTTGAAAATAACCAATGTGAAAAGAGGTTGGTGTAATGGTAGAGTGCTTACTTAACAAGTCCAAGGACATATAAACAAATGGAACAGAACCAAGAGTCCATATATTGTCAAGTGAATTCCAACAAGGGTACCAAGACTATTCAAAAGGATGAAGAATGGTCTTTCCAACAAATGCTCTTAGATATCCATTCACATGCAAAAAAAATAAAGTCAGACCTTTACCTTTGGACCATATACAAAAATTGACTCAAAATAGATCCATGACCTAAGTGACTGTAAGACCTAAAACTATAAAACATATAGGAGAAGCTTTATAACTGGATTTAGATAAGACACCAAAACCATAGCCAATTTAAAAGATAGATAAATTGGACTACAGCTCAATTTAAAACTTTTGTGTATCAAAAGGATATTATCAAGCCAGTGCTGGTAGCTGAAGCCTGTAATCCTATTTAGTCAAAAGACTGAAATCTGAAAATCAAAGTTCACTGACAGCCTAGGCAAAAAAGACGGCAAGACACTTATCTCCAATTAACCAGCAAAAAGCCAGTAATGGAGGTATGGCTTAAGTGGTAGAGTGCCAGCCTTAAGCAAAAACACCAAGCAAGAGTGTAAAGCTCTGAGTTCAAGCCCTAGTCCTGGTACAAAAAAAAAAAAAAAAGAAGAAGAAGAAGAAAGAAAAGACAAGAAATAGCCACATACTGGTTGCTTGTGCCTATAAAATTAACCATTCAACACGCTGAAATCTGAGAATTGTAGTTTGAAGCCAGCCTGGGAAGAAAAGTCTATAAGACTCGTATCTCCAATTAACCAACAAAAAGCCACAGGTAGAGATGTGGCCCAAATGGTAGAGCTTCAGCCTTTAGTGAAAAAGCTATAGGACAGTGCCCAGGCCCTGAGTTCAAGCCTCAGCACAAAAGGAAGAAGAAGGAGAGGGGGGGGAGAGGGAGAGGGAGGGGGAGGGGGGAGGAAGGAGGGAGGAGGAAGAAGAGCAAAAAGATGTCAACATAGTTAAAAGAAAACCCAAGCAAGGCACTGGTGGCTCACGCCTGTAATCCTAACTACTCTGGAGGCTGAGATCTGAGGATCACAGTTCAAAGCCAGCCCAGGTAGGAAAGGCCATGAGATTCTTATCTCCAATAAACCACCAGAAAACCAGAAGTGACGATGTGGCTCAAGTGGTAGCACACTTTCCTTGAGCTGAAGAGCTCAGGGACAGCACCCAGGCCCAGAGTTCAAGCCCCACGATCGACAAGCAAAACCTGACAACTAGTGGCTCATACCTTTACCTAGCTACTTAAGAGGCTGAGATCTAAGGATTACAGTTCAAAACCATACCTTGTAGAAAGGTCTGTAAGACTCTTATCTCCAATAAACTACTCAGAAAAACACAGATGTGGAGCTGTGGGTCAAGTAGTAGAGTACTAATTTTGAGCTAAAGAAACTTAAGGATAGTGCCCAGATCCTAGGTTCAAATCCAGAACCAGCACACATACACACCCACACACATACACTCTGACAAGACTTGAACAGCTAGTTATTTTCTCAAAAAATATACAAATAACCAATGTATTTCCTGTCACTATTCATAAGGAAAAATCAAATCAAAACCATAATGAGATACCACTTCACACGCATTAGAACAGTTATTACAAGAAGAGGAGGGAAGAAGAGGGGGAAAATAGGAGGAGAAGGAGAGAGAAGAAGAAGAAGAAGGGAGAAGGGAGAGGAGAGGAAGGAGGAGAAGGTGGTGGAGAAGGAGGTGGGTCTGGAGATGGAGGTCAGTGACAGGGTGCTTTCCTAGCATGGAAGAGGCCCAGGGTTCCACTCTAAGAACAAGGAAGAAAGGGAGGGAAGGAGGAAAGGGGAGGGAAGGAGGGAAAGAAAAAGAGAAAGAAGTATTAGTAAGGATATGGGAACTTGGAACTCTGAGCACTAATGAGAATGTAAAATGTATAGCCACTTCAAAAACAATATACTCATTCCTCAGAAAAATTTAAACTAGAATTACCAGATGATCCGGAAATCTCAATTTTGGGTATTTATGCAAAAAAGAAATGAAAGCAGACATTCAAACAAATAGCAGCATTATGGGGCTGGGAATGTGGCTTAGTGGTAGAGTGCATGCTTAGCAAGCCCTGTGTTTGATTCCTTAGTACCACATAAAACAGAAAAAGCTGGAAGTGGCACTGTGGCTCAAGTGGTAGAGTGTTAGCCTTGAGCACAAAAAGGCTTAGGAACAGAGCCCAGGCCCTGAGTTCAAGCCCCAATACTAGCAAAAAAAAAAAAAAGCAGCATTATCCACAATATTCAAAAGATGAAGGAAACAATCTGTGTATACATTAACAGATGAATAAACAAAAGACAGTGTATACACACACACACACACACACACACACTCTCTCTCTCTCTCTCTCCTCTCTCTCTCTATCTATATACCCATCCACCACAACAGAATATTACTCAGACCTAAAAAGGAAGGAGATTTTCACATATACTACTATAAGGATAAACTCTGAAGACATTATGCCAAATAATAAAAGCCAGTCACCAAAGGACAGATGCTATATGGTTTCATTTTTATGAGATACCTAGAATAGGAGCTACTAGACACTGGGAGACGGGGAATAAAGTGTTAACTGTTTAATGTATATAGTTTTAGCTTTTCTTTTTTTGTTTGTTTGTTTGTTTTTTTTGGGTCCAGTCGTGGGGCATGAACTCTGGGCCTGGGCGCTGTCCCTCAGCAGTTCAGCTCAAGGCTAGTGCTCTACCACTTGAGCCACAGTGCCACTTCCGGCTTTTTTCTTTTTGCTTATGTGGTGCTGAGGAATTGAACCCAGGGCTTCAGGCATGCAAGGCAAGCGCTTTACCACTGAGCCACCTTCCCAGCCCAGTTTTAGTTTTACAAGATGAAAAAAGTTCTTGGGATGGATAATGCTGATAGCTGCACAAAGTAAATGTACTTAATACTATTGAAACATACTGACTAGGGTAGTAAATTCTGTTATAAAGTAAAACATTCATACCATTTTACCACAATTTAAGATAAACCAAAACCATTCTGAAGTAATGGATGCAACTGCCAAGGAACTAAAGTATTCATACTTGCTATATCAGTTTGATATCCTATATAAGTAATGTTTCTTCTTAATAAATATCCACTTCAAGTCAGGCAACTGGTGGCTCATGCCTGTAATCCTAGCTACTCAGGAGGCTGAGATCTGAGGATCAAGGTTGGTTCAAAGCCAGCCGGGGCAGGAAAGTCCGTGAGACTCTTACCTCCAGAAAACTGGAAGTGGTGCTGTGGCTCAAGTAGTAGAGCATTTGCCTTGAGCTGAAGAGCTCAGGTACAGTGCCCAGGCCCAGAGTTCAAGCTCCACAACCCCCGCCCCCCCCAAAAAAAAAAAGAATCAAAAAACACATCAAAGTTCATGCTGAACCTCTAAAGCCTATAAATGAAGGTAAATGTCAAGTAAAGAAAACTAATCCTCAGCCCATAGTTAAAGGCACTTCCTATGCAACAATCTCTTAACTCACCTATATCAAGAATCCTATCTCCTGGTCGGTTCCACCTCCAGCCTTCCAGCTGCTGATGCTCAGTGTACTGTAATCTTCTGTCATGGAATACTACACGGAATATACTCTAAAAAGAACAATAAAGTCAGTGAACTATGCCCCTTGAAAATCAATGTAGCTGAGGCCCTGGTAGTGGGATTTTAGTCATAATCAAAATTACCTAAGAACCATTTTCCTCGAAAACCTGTACCATATTAAACTCTGTGCCTGGATAAATTTCATAATTTCTCATATGTAATCTTTTTTATTTTTATAGGAATATTAGTGCTTGAACTAAGAGCCTCATGCTTGCTAGGCTGATGCTCTACCACTGATCCATGCCTCCAGCTCTGTTTTCTTAGATTATTTTTTTTTTAACTTTTTGAAATCGGGGGCCAGGAAGGTGGCTCTGTAATAGTGTTTGCCTTGCATGCATGAGGCCCTGGGTTCCATTTCTCAGCATCACATAAGCAGAAAAAGCTGGAAGTGGTGCTGTAGTTCAAATGGTAGATTGCTAGCCTTGAGCTGAAGAGCTGAGGGACAGCACCCAGGCCGAGTTCAGGCCCCACAACCAACCAAAAAAAACAAAAACAAAAACATTATTATAAAGGGGTTATGGTTATGTAAGTCAGATAAAGAGTACATTTCTTTTTAAACAATTTTTATTTGTTATTTTTAAGCTAGGGTCTCATGTCTTGTCTGGGCCTGAACTTAGACCAAGGGCTATCTATTTTAGGCCTCTCTGTCATAGCTGAGATGACAGGTACACATAATTATGCCCAACTTTATTCAACTGAGGTGAAACCTGTGGGCTTTTGTACCCAGGCCATCCTGGAAGTATATGCTCTTGATCTCAGTTCCACATATTGATTAAGAAAGGGTCTTGCAAACTTTTATACCCAGGCTGGCCTCAAGTCAAAATCCTTTCCTCGGCTTCCCAAGTAGCCAGGACTATAAGCATGAACCACCTATGTTCAACTTTGTTTTGTTTTGTTTTTGTCGTTGTTGTTGGTTGTGGAGCTTGAACTCAGCTCTTTTGCTCAAGGATAGCATTCTACTGCTTTGAGCCACAGCACCACTTCCAGTTTTTCAGTGGTAACTGGAAAGAAGTCTCATGGAGACTTTTCTGCCTGGGCTGGCTTTGAACCATGATCCTCAAATCTCAGCCTCCTAAGTAGCTAGTATTACAGCACTGGCTTGGTTTGGTTTTTAAGACAAGGTCTTGCTATGTAACCCAGATCTCAAACCTGGTCTCAAACTCTCAATCCACTTGCCTCAGTCTCTTAAATCTTGGGATTACAGGCATGCACAACTATACCTGGCTTATAATCTTCATTAATATAATTGGCATCACATTTAAAATGTCAACATACTTCTATGTAAAACATTTCTATGTACTTTCACTGTTATGCTTTGTAATGTCTAGCTTAGCCCTTCAGGTATATAAGCAAAACTCACCACTTCCCCTGCTTGCTAACCTATCATACAATCAATGAAAGTTGTGAGACCTATTTCCATCAACTTTCCTTTTGTTACTCTTACTTTGTGAAGGTGCCTATTAATCCCTCCCATCACTTTTCACAATTCTACTAAAACTGTTCCAGCTGTGCTGTGAATTCTCAAAATCCTTACTGTCTATCTACAAAGTGAATTGCTACTCATCAACAGCAAAGTTCTACCTTTGTTTGTTACATTTTTATTTTATGTACAAAAAACTATCATAGTCTTTTTTCATTGAGTGGATGTTCTGGGAGAGCCATTCAAAGATCACCTGGTACAACTGAATGAAGCCTGTATCCTGCAGGTACTAACAGAAACATGCTGACACTCGTTGAACCTCCATTTCTGGATCAGATAAGTCTAATTTGAGCAGAATGGCAAGAGTGAGAACTCTGACCAGATTTTTATGGGTAACTCCAACAGAGCTGCTTTCAGGGATGCAGCAAGGCCAAAGGATAGATCATATCAACAGTACTTTCTATTTATCTTGCTAAAAATACCAGGAATCCAAAGAGCTATTGAAGCTCCTCTAAAGATCTCAAGGAGAGCTGGGGGAAGCTCAGTGCCAGAGTGCTTGCCTAGCATATGTGAGGCTTGGGGTTGGTTCCATCCTAATAACATACACAAAACAAAAATCTTGCCAGGCGCTGGTGGCTCATGCCTGTAATCCTAGCTACTCAGGAGGCTGAGATCTGAGGATCGTGGTTCAAAGCCAGCCTGGGCAGGAAAAGTCTGTGAGACTCTTATCAATAAACCACCAATAAACCACCAGTAAACCAGAAGTGGCTCTGTGGCTCAAGTGGTAGAGCACTAGCCTTGAGCTGAAGAGCTGAGGGACAGCACCCAGGCCCAGAGTTCAAGCCCCATGACTGACCAAAAAAAAAATCTCAAAATTAAAAAAAATAAGTTAGCTGTGGGTGCTGGTGGCTCACACCTGTAATCCTAGTTAATTAGGAGGCTTAGGATCATGATTTGAAGCCAGCCCAAGCAGGAAAGTCCATGAGACAGTTAGCTCTAATAAACTACTCAGAAAAAGCCAAAAATAGAGCTCAGTGGTAGAGCACTAGCCTTGAGCAAAAAGAAGCTCAGGGTCAGCACATAGGCCCTGAGTTCATGCCCTAGGACTGGCACAAAAAGAAAAAAAACATGCCGGCGGTTCACACCTATAATCCTAGCTACTCAGGAGGCTGAGATCTGAGGATCACAGTTCGAAGCCAGCCCAGGCAGAAAAGTCCATTAGACTCTTATCTCCAATAAATTACCCAAAAAAAGGTGGAAGTGGCACTGTGGCTCAAGTCGTAGAGGGCTAGCCTTAAGCACAAAGAGGCTCAGGGACAGTGCCCAGGCCCTAACTTCAAGCCCAGGACTGCCAAAAATGAAAAAGAAAAAAAAAAGCCAGAAGTAGAGCTATGGCTCAAATGGTAGAGCACTAGCCTTTAGCCAAAAATCTCAGGGATAGCACTTGGGCTCTTAGTTCAAGCCCGAGGACTGGCAGGAGCGTGCATGCATGCAAGTGTGTGCACACACACAAATCATCACCATCATCATCATCATCTTGAAGTTACTTCATCCAAAAGCACATCATCAAGCCAGGAGACTACCCTGAACATAGACTTGTAAACCTTTTGTTTCTGCAGCTCTGAAAAATCTATATGAAGAAAGGGACCCCAAAAAACCAACAGATCAGTTCACTCTCGACCAACTGTGGCAGATAAAAAATACCATCAAGCTCTTTATAAAAGCAAAAGAATATTAAATCAAAGGTTATATACTGACCCAAAAGGGTCAGCAAAAGGATATTGTACAGAATGATTTACTTATTTTCTTTTACCTTCACCAATTTGCCATTAATTTCTGGAAGTTCCCCAAGTTTCCTATTGTCTAGCATTCGGATTTCATAAGACTGTCCTAGAAGAAAAAGGAGTCATATATTATGTCTCACAAATTAACTTACCTAGATTCAGAAAGGATGAAATTCAGTTGGCTGAATATACAAGATAACATCATTAGTATTGGTAACAATAACTATACACCTTTATAAGACATTAGGTACTACGTTAAACACACACACACACACAGATTATTTTATACACTAGATACAACTTCCTAATTCCTAAGTTGTTACCAATCCTCTTTTTTGTTTTTTGGTCAGTCCTGGGACTTGAACTCAGGGCCTGGACACTGTCCCTGAGGTTCTTTTGCTCAAGGCTAGCACTCTACCACTTGAGCCACAGTGCCACTTCCAGCTTTTTCTGTTTATGTGGTACTGAGGAATTGAACCCAAAGCGTCATACATGCTAGGCAAGCACTCTACCACTAAGCTACATTCCCAGCCCCTTAATCCTATTTTTACAAGTAAGAAATTGAAACAAAGATTTAAAATGAAGCTGGGTGCTGGTGGCTCATGCCTGTAATCCTAGCTACTCAAAAGGCTGAGAGCTAATGATCATGGTTCGAAGCCCAGGCAGGAAAGTCCATGAGATTCCTATCTACATTTAACCACCAGAAAACCAGAAGTGGCACTGTAGCTCAAGTGGTAGAGTGCAAGCCTTGAGCAAAAAGAGCTCAGAGAAAGCACCCAGGCCCTGAGTTCAAGCCCCACAACTGACAAAAAAAAGTTAAAATGACTTATCCAACGCCACATAACTGGCAAACAGTAGAGCTAGGGTTTAACACTTCTCAGCCAATAACTAAATGGTAAACATAAATTAAAAAGAAGGAAATGTGAATTAAGAATGTTCAAGGAGATATAATATATATATATATATATATATATAAATGTATTATTAATGATTCAGGCACTGGTGGCTCATGCCTGTAATCCTAGCTGTTCAAGAGACTGATATCTAAGGATTACAATTTGAAGCTAGCCTAAGCAGGAAAGTTTATGAGACTCTTATCTCCAATACACTACAAAAAACTGGAAATTGAGTTGTGGTTCAAGTGGTAGAGTGCTATTCTTGAGCAAAGGAAGCTCAGGGACAGTGGCAAGGCCCTGCATTCAAGCCTAGGACCAGCATTAAAAAAAAGTGATATTAAAACTCAAATCTCTGAAGTAAGTTTGACAGGACATATGGAAAAATATACTCTCTACCCTTTTTCCTCTAAATGTCCCTAGTAAAATAGCCTGAATTCACCAGGTCTACAATATAAACAAGAGAGGAAACATTTCACCTTGATTGAGATATGTCAGAGTCTCATCATGGAGTTTCACAGCTGGAGACGTGGCAGCACAAAGCACATACTGAAAAGGTAGAATTTCATTCTCATTATCAGGAGGCAAACTTGACTCTTCTTGCTTAAAAATGGGCAATGCAAGGACATCACTGAAAGAAAACAAATAGCTTTCATTAATATCTGACAATGGGCAAAGCAGACTTATTGTTAAAAATTTAACTAATCGGGCTGGGAAGGTGGCTCAGTGGTAGAATGCTTGTCTTGCATGCATGAGGCCCTGGGTTCCATTCCTCAGCACCGCATAAGCAGAAAAAGCTAGAAGTGATGCTGTGGCTCAAGTGGTAGAGCTGAGGGACAGCACCCAGGCCCAGAGCTCAGGACCCACGACCAAAAAAAAAATTTTTTTTCTTAATTAAAAATACAATTAACTAATCTTGCATTGGAAAGCAATAAACATCATGCACTTTGGCAGAGCATCATCCAACCCATTTAATTCTGCTATGACAGCCCTCTGACCACAAAAATGTAGGTAAGGACAAATATTATCTGCTAACTACCTATTTATCCATATAGTATTCTAGGAGTCATACATAGGGTTTCTGAAAGGACTCTGAAAATTATATGCAGTGTTCCAAAATGTAAATCCAGGACACTCAGGGCTATCATCTGACTATGGTTTATGTTCCCACAAAGATACAAACATTATATGCTGGCCTGAAGCTTGGTCCTCATTATGGCAGTGTTGAGGCATAGAACCTTTAGGAGATGAGGCTGAGTGGAGGTCATGGGACATTGCTCTCAAAAAGAAATAATAAAAAGTACGGGTTAATAGAGGTTTCAAGAGATCAGATTAGCTCTTGATAGAATGGCCTGTTATAAAGGAGACTGACACCTCCCCTGCATTTCCCTTTTAACTGCATTTCTCAATAGACATGATAGTATATGCCTGCAATGCCAGCATTTAGGAGGACTGCTTTAGCCTGGGAGTTCAGGGCCAGCCTGGACAACATAGCAAGACCCTGTCTCTTAGAAAACAATAAAAGAAAGCCAGGCACTGGCGTCTCATGCCTGTACTCCTATTCAGGAGGTTGAGAGCTGAGGACCACAGTTTGAAGCCAGTTCAGGCAAGAAAGTCTCTTATCACCAATTAACCAGCAAAAAGCAAAAATGGAGCCATGTCTCAAGCAGTAGAGCACTAGCCTTGAGCACAAAAGCTCAGGGACAGTGTCCAGGCCCTAAGTACAAGCCCTAAGTACCAGCACAAAAAGTAAAGAGACAAATAAAACAAAATGATATGTCCAACAGAAGTATACTGGATACATAAATAACAACAAAAAAAGCATTATCATCACCTTCACTATATGATGTCATTCACCAAGTGGCCTTCACTAGGGCTGAGTGGATGCCAGTGTCCTTTTCTTGAATCTCCAGCATTTATTCATTAGCTAGCACTGACTATTTTATTAAAGCTATACAATATATTCAGTGTGTTTGTTCTAAGAGAACTATGGTGACTCTATAAGAACATGAGTTGATCTACTATATAGACTAGGTCAATTTTTATAATTCCTTAGCAGCCATAAGAAAGCCAGGCAGAGTGGCACAAGTCTGTAATTCCATCTACAAGGAGCTGAGGCAGAATTATTGCATGAAAAACAGCAAAACCTTGTCTCAATAAATAGAATAAGCCACAAGAAAAGGGTAGCTGAGTGCCAGTGGCTTATACTTGTAACCCTAGCTATTTGGTTTTTTTGTTTTTGTTTTTTTGGTCGGTTGTGGGGCTTGAACTCTGAGCTTGGGAGTTCTCCCGGCGCTCTTCAGTGCCACTTCCGGTTTTCTAGTGGTTTATTAGAGATAAGAGTCTCACAGACTTTCCTGCCCGGGCTGGCTTTGAACCGTGATCCTCAGATCTCAGCCTCCTGAGTAGCTAGGATGTGAGCCACTGGTGCCCGGCTAACCCTAGCTATTTGGGAAAGAGATCGAAAGGACAGAGGTTTGAGGCCACTCTGGGCAAGAAACCTATGAGACTTCATCTCAATCAATAGATGAACATAGTGGACCACACCTGTCATCCAGTTACACTGGAAAGAGTGGATGGATCATAGTTCCAACCCAGCTCAGTCCCTACCACCCAACAAAAAAAAGAGTTCAAAGATCCCATCTCAAGAGAAAAAGCTGGCATGGTGCCTGAACCTGTTTTCTCAGCTACCTCAGAAACACTAAAAAGGACCATGGTTCAGATCAGCCTGAACAAAAAGTGAGAACCTATCTCAAAATTAACCAGAGCAAAGCCGGGCGCCGGTGGCTCATGCCTGTAATCCTAGCTATTGAGGAGGCTGAAATCTGAGGATCATGGTTCAAAGCCAGCCCAGGCAGAAAAGTCCATGAGACTCTTATCTCCAATTAACCACTAGAAAACCAGAAGTGGTGCTGTGGCTCAAGTGGTAGAGCGCTCCCCTTGAGCTGAAGAGCTCAGGGATAGCGCCTAAGCCCAGAGTTCAATCCCCACGTCCAACAAAAAAAAACAAAAACAACTAACCAGAGCAAAGGTACTGGAGACATGATTTAAGTGGTAGAGACCCGGCCTTTTAAGTATAAAGCCTCAGTTCAAACTCTAGTACTACCCCCCCCAAAGAAAAATTAAGAACAAATTAGTAACAAATGAGCATATATTTCAAAGTGACATTCTGTGAAATATCACTAACAATTAGATGAGCCTTTAGTTCCTTCTTCCAAGAAAAATCTTCTAATGTCTATCATTCTGTATTAACTTGCATATAAAAGACACATAACCAAAGAATTCTAGAATGGCTCTGCTAGCCATTCTGATGTACTAGAGGAAGAAGAATACAGAACTAGGCCAAAGTCCTATGTTTCAGTCCCTGGAAACTTGGATGAATCTTTGGCAAGCTCCCATAAAATCTTTATTCCTTCATGTGCAAAGTGAGAACCATCTTTTGCAATCAAGAACAAATACATAGCTGGGTACTGGTGCTCACACCTATAATCCTAGCTACTCAGGAGGCTGAGATCTGAGGATCAGTTTGAAACCAGTCCGGGCAGGAAAGTCAATTACAGTCTTATCTCCAGAAAACTGGAAGTGACACTGTAACTCAAAGTGGTAGAGTGCTGGCCTTGAGCAAAAAAAAAACAAAACTCAGGGATAGCACTCAGGACCTGAGTTAAAGCCCCAGTCCCAGCAAAAAAAAAAAAAAAAAAAAAAAAAAAAAAAAAAATTCATGAGAAAGTATCTATGGGACCATAAAATGTTTATGGTGAAGGAGTAACAAAAAATTTTATCAAGTGGCAAGGATGACCAGGAACTTCTCCTGGATCTTGATCTGTATGTACTTTACTTCCAATTTTTAAAAATGCACAAAATTTAAGAAATGCACCAAATTACAGGTTATCTCTAGTTATCTCAAGGCAAGTCATAAACTAAGTCAGGTGCCAGTGGCTCACAACTGTAATCGTAGCTACTCAGAAGACTGAAATCTGAGGATCGTTTGAAGCCAAGTCCAGGTAGAGAAGACCATGAGACTCTCTATCTCCAATTAGCCACCAAAGAGTTGGAAGCACAGGTGTGGCTCAAGTAGTAGAGCACCAGCCTTGAGTGAAAAGGTAAGGGAGAATGCTCTGTTCCTGAGTTCAAGCCCCACTGCCAACGCTAGCATGCGCGCACATACGCGCGCGCACGCACACACACACACAGCACTCCTAAAATAAAATGCATTTTAATTTCCTTTGAAGACAACTAAAATTAAAAAGACTGACAGCCCAAATGGTAAGGAATTGTAACAACTAGACTTGAACACTTGCCAATGAAAATGACAGTAACTTTAGAAAAGAGAGTGGCTAGTTTTTGTTGTTTTTGTTTTTTTTTTAAATGAAGTCAGCCATGCAATTCACTCATGTGTATTTATTCATAAAAACATGAGTCCACTCAAAGACTTGAACATGAATGTTAACAGCTTTAGAATAGAAAGTAGAAAGAACCCATTATGTTTACAATTAAGAGAATAGATGCACAAAATGTGCTCATAATCCTGGGATGAACACAACCCAGCAAAACAAAGGAATGCAACAGCATGGATGAATCTTAAAGATTTAATACTGAACAACAACACAAAAGACACTAAGAATGCATAAGGTATAATTCAATTTACATGACATTCTCAAACAAGCAAACCTAAAGAGAACAATGGTTTCTTGACCAGGCAGGTTCTGACTTGTTCTATGCTATGACAGGTATGTGCTAGATGGTTTTAAGTATACAAATTTGTGCTTTCAATATGAACACATAAAGATTATGTAAAAAAACTGAGAAGATGGAAACTTGATGGAGATTTAAATGACTTTTAAAGTAGAGTGACAGGTACAAAAGGGTTAGGTTATTTTGTTTACTTTGAATTTGTTTGAAATGTTTATGATAAATAGTTAAGGTCTAGGTTTTTGTTTTTAAAGGAAAACATAGCAATTTGGCTTAGTGGAGTCTGTTCACCTAGCATGTGTGAAGTCCTTAGTTCAAGCCTCAGAATCATGACAAAAACAAAAAGATTCACATTTGCTGGACAGGGTGCAACACGCCTGTAATCACAGTACTTAGGGTAAGACAAGGATAGCAAATTTAAGCTTCTAGTGGCTAAAAATATTTCAAGACCCTGACTCAAAAAGAAATAAACAAAAAAGGAATACAGTTAAATCTTTCCATTTTTAAATATTATACTTGAAGGGCTGGGAAGGTGGCTCAGTGGTAGAGCGCTTGCCTTGCATGCATGAGGCCCTGGGTTCAATTCCCCAGCACCACATAACCAAAAAGGAAAAAACAAAACAAAACGGAAGTGGCGCTGTGGCTCAAGTGGTAGAGCGCTAGCCTTGAGCTGAAGAGCTGAGGGACAGCACCCAGGCCCCACGACCAGACCCAAAAAATAAAACAAACAAACAAGCAAACAAATAAATAAATATTATACTTGTAACATGAAAGAGATAAAAAGTAATGTTTTGCTATAAACAGACGAAAAACAAGTTCCTTATAAGCACCTGTATTCCTCAGTAGCAAATATACACAGTATACTTGGCAATTATATGTAGGCAAAAACCCTTCTGATAAGAAACTAAAGACAACCCTTCCTTTTTTTATTGTTTGGCA